TTACACCTGAATAATTAAAATATATAAATAAAGACAAGACAAAGAAATATCAGGTGAGAAGATATTCATAGACATATTAACATGAAGTGATTACATCAGTTACTTCCAGTCACCAGATATACTCATTATATGAAGGATCTTCCAACTCGATTCTTTCAACACAATAAAAACATGTTTGTGTAAATAAAAACAAGAAATATCAATAAAAAGTATTGATGTGTGTTTTATAAGACAAAAGAACAATTTTAACCTTAGAGAAGAAAATTGAAAGACTTATTTTGTATCAAAAATATCTCCTCTGCTCTGTATTTGTAATTGCATTACAGTTCCCTTTATTGTATCCTGATTAAGTAATCGATTACTTCCCAAACCTGCAACGAGGCACAAAACATGACAGTAAAAGAGGATCATAAAGAGTAAAATGTACACATTACACACAAATATAAAAGGGATTTAAATAAAGAATCTATATATTAACATTCATCAGTGCAGATTTTTTACCTTTAAGATAAATTTGAGACTTTGAAGCTGTTCTTTGGCACAGTAGTGCTTTCAGCTAAATACTAACTTTAGCATGCTGGCATTGTCACATTAGATAAAATGCTTTCATATTATTCTTTACAGCAGGTATTTTATATGTTTATATGTTTATCAGCACTATTTAGTGCAGGATTAGGCTTTTCTGGATGGTACTGCAGTGTTGTACAGGGTGATAGTAGAAGTGTGGTGATATAAACCGATATTGACGATAACGGTGATATTTAAAAAGTGCAAATAATGATATTGTGTTAATTATGTACATAAAATATTGTGTAAATAATCACATTACTTCTTGAATAATTGGTGGGTGGCTGTAGAGACAAAACACACAATAAAAGTTCAAGATAAATTTGATTAGATAGCTTTATATTTAACTTTTTCTCTAGTTACCATGATAATATCCTTATTGTGAATTCTTCTGGCTGCAATAATCAATATATAATTTAATTTCCTTCTATCATTTTCTTCCCAAATATATTTTAGCCAGTGGACATCACGTATTCCACAGTGCAAAAGTCCTACAATAACTATAATTAATGCATTTATGTGTTAGAAAGCTGCATTTTAAGGGCAATTTAACTATCTAATATACTATTGTTGAGTTTAATGGATTAAAAAAAGCATCATACTTGGTTGCACATCGTGTGTAAATGCAAATTCAAACATCAGAAATAGAGTAACACACAGGAAAGGACCTAAAAAGTGTTAATTAAATGTATTTTACAGCCTTAATTTAAGACTTATGCTTTGCTTTTGTCTAACTGACACATAAACATTCCCCTATGATCAAAAAATAACACATGAAAGTGTTAAAAAAAATGTATCGGGCTGGGAAAACTCCTGCACTGACATTTTCTATTTAAAGTCGAGTCATTCAGCCGTTCAATCTACTTGCACAGTCAGTAAGTTTGGACCACAAGCTGCCGACAGTCAGCAGAAATTAAAGAGCAACAACACTGCAGAGTTTAATTAGATCGGTGCTCATTAACGAACTCAACTCAACTCCCTGAGGACAAAAAGTAGAGACACGTTGTAACAAATACAAGTTTAATATCAACATCAGGTGAACAACAGCAGAAACAGCAAATGTTTAATGGATTTTAACCTCTTTAAGTAAATTGCTGCTACGCTCACATCACCTCAAACCTCACAGAGCAGAAAATCTAAAGTCTGAAACAAGAACTCCTGTTTCTTCAACAACAGACACAAACATGTACATTTTATTTACAATCAGCCCCAACTGAAGGCGGATAAACCCGAGAGGACGAGCAGCGCGGAGAGAACACGAGTCAGATTATTTCAGATATTTTAGATTCTTACTCAATATTCTTCTTCTTGGTCTTTTTTTTTTAACAAACGTTTGCTTTTATTTTGGAGTCAACCTCTTCATTTCATCAGTGGAGACGCAGCGTTACGTTAGGCCCGAACATGAATTGATTTCTGAATAAACATCAGTTACTTTCACTCAACCAGATATCCAACCATCCGGTGCCATCGTGACCATTTTGTGAAGGATCTTCCCTCAAGTACATCCGACTCAATTCTTTCAACACTTAAAGCTCCAACAAAAACATGTTTGTGGAGTTTCACTGCACGTTTCCCCCCTCGCTCTCTCGCTCTCTCTTTTACTGCCTGCTTCCTCCAGCGGAACAATTTCATACATGTTGAACAGAATCCTCCCAGGCATCAGTTTACAGCTAAATGTAACTACGTCTCCCGCTGGAGTCCAACGTGATGAAAACCACAAGCACTTTTTTTACCCAATGACCCATTTTGGGCCCTGAAATAGAGTTCATGAAGCACTGTTATAGGGAGGAGGAGGAGGAGGAGCAATGGGTACTGAGGCTCTTAGAACTGCTGCAGGATCAGTTTCTTCTTCCCGTCGTGGCTGAACTTGTTGGAGCGGAAGAGGTCGCTGTCGTAGAACGCCGTCAGGTTGTGGATGTTGATCTGCCTCGCCTGGAGGAGGAGGAGGAGGGAGG